TTTCACTGATTTTTTTTTACTTTATTTACAAAACTGAAAAATACATTAATATAGTAAATACTAAGATTTAGTGTCTAGATATATATATAATTATTTTCTAAAATAACAGCAAAGAAAGACCAAGGGGGATTGATCCCCAAAATCAAAAAAGATTTGTATGAGAACACTACAAGATTAACAGTGGTGATAGTTATTTGTTTTTATTTAAAATACATGATTAATTAACACATTATTTTACATTGACAACTAACAAAAATGATAAAATAATAACAAAATTAGTGTGAACAAAGTTTTAAGTGATCGAATTTACCGACATTACATTGATTTGTGTGATTTAGATGTACAAGTAAAAATGAGCGACATGAGCGAAAATGATGGACACCTCGATTCGTATGAGAATTATTTGCAAAAAATACAACTTGATCATTTATTTTTACATTTAAGATCAGAGACGGATTTACACAATTGCCGCCCCATTAAACTTATCAACGAAAAAACGTATTTTTAAATACTTATTTAACATAAGTACTAAAAAAATAAATCATAAAGACTGATACTAAACAGTAAACAATAACTAATGGCAGTTATGTTAATAAACTGTTTTAATAAACTGTTTTAATAAAATGTGTTTATAAAATATAGTGTTTACTTACCAGTCATTTAAGTAGTATACTAATAACCGAATATGAAGTCTATCCGCCTTGAATGTTGTGTTGGAAATAATCGAATGTCTAATCAGAATAAAGTATAAACCTATTTTTTACTCGGCCGCCCTCTATTTCACAGTCCCGAAGAAAAATAAATAATTATTACATAATTTTATCTTTTGGATAGAAAAAGTTTTATTTTTGTACACATAATGCATACCTAGTACGTACGAGTATATTATATAAAAATATTCAGTGACTGGTTTATAATTACCTAAGTTACCTATTATCTAATTACGATCAATCGTCACCCGTATTCGTATTAAATATATCATAATATCTGTATGTAGTGTGTGTAGACTGTGTACGCCGTGCGATCAAACGAACCACGAGCGATTATTAATAATTATTACGACTTAGCAAAAAAACAAATTAACGAAATATGTTATCCATGTTTAGTATTTAGATAATAGATCTACGTTCCGGCAGTCGTTCGATAATTTACTTGGACGTTTATTGTTATGTATTATAAAATAAAGAAGAAATTATATTAACAAGAATATTATTATACTTAAATATTAAACATTTTTTTATCCATCCTTCAGAGTAATCACCGTACATTAGAAAATCAAAAAGACACTTAGAGTATTTTCAATAAAATATTGGCCTAAAATTGCCGCCCTAGGCAACTGCATACTTTGCCTGACGCTAAATCCGCCACTGTTTAAGATACTGCTCTAAAAATAATTTTTATAAATCCAGATTTTGAAGATAGAAAAAAATTTCAAAAAAATCTTCATTGGGCCATCTCACTGAGTACTTATATACTTGTTACCTCATCCATTTCAGAAACACGCTGTATATTACAATATAATATTATATTGAACACTTGACAATTAATTTTTTAAGAATACAATATTATTCGTTGTTCTGCATCAACTTTACTAAAATTGGACCAAATTGTGGGTGGGGACCATAGGCGCAATTTCAACTTTTGGCTTGGGGGGCTGAATATATTTAAGGCAAACAGACCATTGCAATATAGCATATTAAAATTATATGTCCTAGGTTTTTTTTGGGGGGGGCTACGGCTAAGTTTGGGGGGCTTAGCACCCTCCCCCCAACAATTTTCCCTTATGGTGGGGACGAACCAGTGGCGTAGCAAAAAACTTGGTGGCCTTACGGCCATAAGCGACAGAGACGGTCTTTAAGGCGCCCGGTGCCGATGCCATTTTGTCCTCAAAAATACACTCAGCGTGAATAACGATACCGCCTTGTAGAATCAACCAAATTTCATAATTTTTTTTTATTTGCTAGAGGGAAATATTCTACATTCCGCATCGATCTCTGTTTTTCAATATTTTATTCTCAAACTTTATAATATGTCTAAAAAAATACAAGATAAAAAGCATTTTTTACAAATTTTTTAATACAATGATTTGAAATAAAATACAAAATCAAATTTTATAGAATTGCGGAAAATTTGATAAACTGGCACCGGGACCCTTAAGATGCCTATTTTCAGGTAGGTATAATATAATTATTTATCGTGTAAATTTACTAGTGCAATCTAGCGGTGTTTATTTTTGTTATTATCTTCTGTAGATATCACGGATTAATATTAATCCGTGGTAGATATTAAAGTGACATTTTAGATACCTATTATTATAATAACAATAATATAGTAATATTATATTAATTATTAATATTATGTTATTTATTTATTAAAGAGAGATGCAAACAAATATAGAGTCATAAACTTATAGCAAATAGGTATTAATAATTTATGGACAATTTTGTAAATTAACTATTACAATCAAATAATAAATTGAATGTTCGGAATATTATGATGAAATTAATAAAATATATAAAATGAAAGTGGCATACATTTTACTTGAAAAATACTCATATACCTAAACTATATTGTAATTTGAAAGTATAACACATTTTTACATTATAGCATTATACCTACTGTTTTTCTAATTATTTAATAATTATTAAGTGTTCACAATCACAAATTTCGATAGTTTTTGTTTTGTACTTAGCACGATTTGCAGTGCCGGATTAAGACCGATCATAGCCCTAGGCAAACATTTTTTTCTATAACCCATTGTAAAAAAAACAAAAAACAAAAAAACAAAATTATATTATATATTAATTATATTACTGATAAGTCATAGTATTATGGTTAATGTTACCAAGTTCCAAAAAGTTGAAAAATAGAATAATATACAATTAAATATATAATAATGAAAATGTAAATATAAACTAACCTATTTAAAATTGAATTCCATAAGCAAATCATTATACAAACTTCTAAAGTATTCAATAAATTGTACATAGCTTTAGCTTCAACTTTGCAAATAGGTTTTTCATCAGCATTTTGAATTATATACAGCAATGCATTTTTTATACCAGCATAAGAAGCATATAAAGCATTGCAAGCATCTGCTCGTGCACTCCAACGTGTATCACTCAGATTTTTAACAACTTTACCCTTACCAATATTTTCTTCCAAAATCGACCAACGGTTTGTTGAACATGAAAAAAAATTAAATGATTTTTGAAGCAAATCAAAAAAATGTGTTGCATAAAGACAGCTTTCAGCTGCATACGTCCCAATTAGATTGAGTGAATGCCCAGAACATGGAATATACTTTGCTTTTGGATTTATATTCTTAATTCGAGGCTGAAGACCTGTATACTGTCCAGACATATTAGCCACATTATCATAGCTTTGACGTTGGCAATATTCAATTGGTATTTCATATTCTGATAGTAAATTTAAAACAGTTTCAGCCATATCTTTAGACTTGTGTCCAACATTAGCAATGAATAATAAAAACCTTTCTACTGGTACCCCCCCCCCAAAAAAAAAAAAAAATAGCCCCCTCTGATGGCAACTTTTATCTAGCCCTAGGCACGTGCCTACCCTGCCTATACGTTAATCCGGCACTGACGATTTGACATCGCTATTACCTACATCGCACCTTGCTATTTTCACAGATTAGATTAAAATATCTATTCATAATTTATATCTTATTTCATCTATTCTGTTCACGGGTACGGCTGATATTGAAATACTAGATAGTGTCATAGTGATGATCACGGTATACAGATTTTCTATACAAGACCGTGGGATTGTTGAAGATCTTGGATAATATCTATTTTCTACAGCCATGGCCGCTTAGTCACGTACAAAGTACTGTTTGAAGGGGCCTCTCTGCGGCTATTATTTAAGGGGCAACATTAGGCTATTTGTAATCTCGTCTTAGCCGCCCGTGATCTATGTTTCAGTTGTAAATTAGTATTAGTGTGAGATGTGAGTGAAATGTGGGTATCTACCACTCTTGTACACGCATGCACATGTCAATAATCGATAACAATATAAAATTCACTATAAAAAAAAAATAGGTACCTAGGTACCTATACGAATTTTAAGACAACTAACTTATTGTTTTGACAAAATTAAAGTTAGTTAACGTTGTCTGATTTTGATTCTGAAAAAAATATTTGAATTCAGCAGAAAAATGTCTGTAGATCATACTAGACACTTTCCGTTTTTGATATGAATTTGAATTTAAACTATGACTTGAAAAAACTTATATTTTCAATTACAGTTTTCACAATAATAATATAAGATTTAATTTTTAATTTTCCAAAGTGTTCGTACAATCTAATATTTTTTGGCGAGTTCAAATTTTTTTTCAGAATCAAAATCGGACAACGTAAACTAACTTTAATTTTGTCAAAACTTAGGTATTTTGAGTTAAAATTTACAGTATTAGCGAGGCCCTTAATAGATAGCCGAGGTCGTGGTGAACATCACGATTTTAGATATACCTTATATATTATATACCCTAGTACCTATGTATATCTTAAATCGTGGTGAACATAGATAATAGAAGAATTTCTTAAACTCTCCACACAGTATAATTTATTTTGTGATCTCCACTCTCCAGAGTCCAGCCGTGCTATTATCACATAATAATTTTATTCTGTGCTATTATCATAAAGATTTATCGGTTATGATTGATAATATAATCACATATAATCTAAGGCCATGCGTCCAAAAGAATAGATTAAATTTAATCTATTCTGTATTTCTGTGCTATCACCCATCTATATAAAATCTGTGCTAATAATTAAATTAAGTTAATAATTAAATAAATATAGTAGTAAGTATATATAAGTTTATTCTTTATCTATGATACTAAGTAATATTTTGCTATAGGTAGGTATGCAAGGAATTAAAAAAAAGACCATATTTTAGGTTTTAAATGTTAATAGATTTATACCTATTGTTTGATATATTTTATAGTAGAGCTTAGGATCGATTTCTAATTGTGGGCAATGATTTCCAAAGAAATATTTTATAAACTTAATAACCTTAGATGTTATAGGAAATATTCTCCAAACCGTAGATCCCTTAGTAATGATATTTGGGTGAGTACCTAACTTTAAGTATTGATAATAAATAATAGTTTATGTTATAATTAAATCTGTTCTAAGTCATCAACATTTATTTATAGAATGAAGAGTTGACAATAGATCTAAAACTAAAAATTGAGAAATACTGGAAAGATAAACTATGTAAAGGTAGTTTTGATAAAAATAACCTTGATAAAAAATTCTACGTCTTGTCAATGTTTCCTTATCCGTCTGGTCACTTACACATGGGTCATGTTCGAGTGTATGTAATTGCAGATTCGATTGCTAGGTTTCATCGCATGCACGGACAAAATGTAAATTTATTTGTCATTATTATTCATAATAAATAAGGTTAACATTTTATAAACATTTTTGCTATAGGTATTTCAGCCTATGGGATGGGATGCATTTGGGCTTCCTGCTGAGAACGCAGCTATACTACATGGCTTACCAGCTGATAAATGGACTAGTTCAAATATTGATCACATGAAAAAACAGCTTCAAGAACTTGGATGCAGTTTTGATTGGTCTAATGAATTAACAACCTGTGATCCAACTTATTATAAATGGACTCAATGGTTCTTTCTAAAAATGTTTCAATCTGGACTTGTTTATTCTAAGGAAGTAAGCCATTTCCTTTGTGTTAACTGTTTACTAGCACTGACTAATAATTTACTTTTGTTGTTGTTTAGGCTGAAGTTAATTGGGATCCAGTAGACGAAACAGTGTTAGCTAATGAACAAGTAGATGAAAATGGACGTTCTTGGCGGTCTGGTGCTATTGTTGAGAAAAAAGTTCTGAAACAATGGTTTATAAAAACAACACAATTCTCTAAGTTAGTTAAAAATTCAATAACTTAGTGTATGTTCATTTTAATAATCAATATTTTTATGATACTCAGTGGTGTGGCTAACTGAAAATGTTACAGAGGCAGGTTAAAAATATCCCAAGTATTATGCATAATAAATAATAATATAACTAATTATATTTCAGATCATTATTGACTACCTATTGAGTATATCATATTATTACATTTACTAGGGGACCCACCGGCTACCCCTATATTTAAGCAAAATCTGAAATTACTGTTCACCACACCACTGATGGTAGTTAAGTATATGAACTATTTAATGCTAAATCACTTAAGCGAATAGGCTGTAGCTCTTCACATTAATAAATGATGAGGACAAAAACAAATTTTTTTTACCGACACTAACAGTCGTAGTGGTTTTCAAATTATAATTGTACTATTTAGTGATCAGAAATCAAGCATAGTTTGTACTTTGTAAAGGTTATTTTCAGTGTTCCCCTTAAGATGTCTATAGAAAATTGTAAAACAAATTAAAATGCATTTCAGTTTTAAAACTTTTTTACTAATTTACTGTGCTTCACTAGAGAAGTAACTCGTTAGTCGTTTCGCAATGTAACTGAAGGCATTTAACGACCTGGGTTAACATTTTCCCTAATAAAATATAGTTTGTAGTTCTAGTGCTATACAACTCTGCCGCCCTTGAATAATTTTTATAGTTGGTGCAACTAATAGATTTTAAACCATTGTTTCCAGAGCTCTGTTTGAAGGACTAAATGATCCATCTTTAATAGATTGGAGGGATATTATCAACCTTCAAAAACACTGGATTGGAGAATGTGATGGATATAAATTTGATTTTCAACTATATACTGATAATGTATGTAGAACAATACTCAATGTTTGGACACAATATCCAGAACATGTACCATTAGCTGCATTTGTTTGTGTTAAGCCCGATTCTTTTATACATAAATATTATGTTCTGAATCATAAAAATGTATACATCAAGAATCCGATTACTGGCAGCAAATTACCGATTTTAGTTACTGATCGTGTTGTATATCCAGACGGGCAAGAATCACGCTTAGCTGTGCCACATGCAAATTCTATTGATAAAGAATTAGCTGAAGAGCATAATATTTTTCATTCTGTAAACCAAAGCTCGTATTTATCTAGAGAAATAATTTGTGAAAAAGCAAAAGAGTTAAATTGTGGTGGTTATCAAGTAAGTTCTAAATTACAGGATTGGTTAATATCTAGACAACGATATTGGGGTACTCCTGTACCAATTATTCATTGTACCAATTGCGGAGCTCAAGCTGTACCAGAAGAACAATTACCAGTAAAATTGCCAATGCTTGATGTACAAAGTGGTAAAAAATTTAAATCGTTAGAGTTAGTCGAAAAATGGATTAAGACTACTTGTCCAAAGTAAGTAGTACATTTAACACTTGTATGAAATACAAACATAACATTAATATTGTAGTTTCCTAGATGTGGTGAAGAGGCAAAAAGAGAAACAAATACAATGGATACTTTTGTGGATTCCAGTTGGTATTATTTGAGATATTTAGATCCTAAAAATAGTTCTCAGCCATTTGATAAGACTTTGGCCAACAAAATGATGCCTGTTGATATATATGTTGGTGGAAAAGAACATGGTAAATTTACTCTTAAATGAATTTATGAAAGTAGTTAAAATATATTTTTTTATTTTAGCTGTTTTGCATCTATATTATGCGAGGTTCTTTAACCACTTTCTACATTCCATTGGTTTGTCTCCTTGTTTAGAACCATTTAAAAAACTATTGGTTCAAGGCATGGTGATGGGTCAAAGTTTTAAAAATAAAATTAATGGCACATATTTAAAAGAAGATGAAGTAATCAAAAAAGGTAAAACATATTTCTCTAAAAATGGTGACATCCCGGTTATTGCAACATGGGAAAAAATGAGTAAATCTAAGCACAATGGTGTCGAACCAAAGCATACTATAAGTGAATATGGAGTAGATACTATGCGATTATTGGTATTGTCTAGTGTTGCACCTACATCTAATAGAAATTGGAATTCTGACAGTGAGTAATAAGTAATAACTAATAAGTCACATGGTAGTACAAATATATATTGTTTAATACATAATTAATACTATTAGCATTTCCTGGAATTTTAAATTGGCAACATAGATTATGGTTAACTATAAGAGAATTTCGAACTATTAGAAAAAATGATGATGTCCAAAGACATACAATTGATTCATCTATATTCCAAAAAGAAGAAATTAAATTACACGATGCACGTAATTATCATGTCAAAAAAACTTCAAGTAACTTCAGAAAATCATATCAATTGAGTGTAGCCATTTCAAAACTACAAGGGTTGACAAATATTTTAAGAGTATATTATACATATTTTTATATACTATTCAAATATACGTTTATTTTTATGGATTTTAATATATTGATACTTTTACAGAAGTCTCCTAAAGAATTGATTAAGTATAGTGCAGAATATGAAAGATTACTGGCTGTTCAAATAATAATGTTAACACCGATGGCTCCACACTTTACATCTGCCTTATGGAGCGGATTTGTATCTGCACCAGGTCGCATAAATCATAAATGGGAACAAATTAATTGGGAAAATGATGTGATTCATCAAAAATGGCCACAAGTGGATAGCGATTATATTTTAAATTTATATTGTGTGGTAAGTATTCAAGAAAACTATAAGTATTTATATTTTAAATTTAAAAAAAAATGTTCTATAGCAGGGGTCGCCAACCTTTTCAAACAAGTGAACTACATTTGGAATTTTTAGTCCCAGGTGATCAACATCCAGGAGAATTTAGGTCTTTAGGAAGAGATTTGTTTTATGAGCAAAAAAAAAAATAAACGTCATTTTATTTTTGTAAATTCTAAATAAATTTGGAACGAAAATATATGGAACATATACGAGTTGCACACTTGCACGTGATGACTAATTGACAGTCGAGTTATAACTGATACTAATTCTGACTACCTATTCTAGCCAATGGCCCCTTAGTCGCTGAGGCATTTGTTTTCAAATAAAAAAAAAAATTCTGACTATTACGATTGACTGATAATGGTAAATTCCTAGAATACAATATAGCAATCCATATTATCCGATTATTTATTACGCAATCGACCGATAATGTTAAAATTAATTTTTATAACGATCGGCCTATATTTCTAGAAAGATGGCAAAAGTTGGCAACCCCTGCTCTGTAGTATATTAAAATAAGTCAATGTCCTATTTAGAAATCTGATGTTCAATGTTTTAACATTTTGTGTATTGTGTATTTTACTATTTTGTACAGTTATATCGGCGTTTTTGCATATTTGTTATCATATCAGCCACCTCATTCTTCCAATTGCATACAAGTGTGTTAAATGATGTATTACTATAGCAATGCACGTCAGGTATTTTGCATCGAGTATTTTGCAACATTTTCTTGGGTTTGTTTAGTATACAATATTCATTTGATTTTACGTCTGTTAATTGATTTCCTCTGTTTGAGGTTTCAGAGTTAACCATGTTATTAATTCCATTACAATTTTTAAACTCTATTTTTTTTGGTAGAACTGGTTTTTCCTTTTTTTCGTTTGTTATAATCATATTTTTTATTTTTTTATTGCATGGCTGACATAATCGCAGCCGGCTTTTTTGTTTTACCTAAAAATACATTTTTAATATTAATCTTATATTAACATCAAGTACAAAATTAATTTTTTACTTTTTTGTTTTCTGCTTTGTTCAATTCTCTCTTGATGAGTTGTTTCATTAAATTTCCTGGATCAAAAACTTGATTGTTTTGTTTTATTTGTTTGAGTAGTTTGTCGGTATATTGAGTTAATCTTTCGTTACCATTATTACACATGGAATGTTCGTTTTTTTTGTTGACAATATTTGAATTTGGTGTATAACCCATCTTTAAGGCAAATTCTTCATTTATTTTTTTTCTCCACGCTTCCTCTTCTTCTTCTTTAAGTGCTTCAAGTCTGCGTTGTCTTTCAGCTTCTTTTGCTTCTTTTGATAATATATCATTCTCTTCTAGCATTTTTTTTTTTGCTAATTCTTGTGCTTTAGCTATATCTTCATTTTCCTTTTCAATTCTTTGTTTTCTTTGTTCTTCCAATATTTGGTTGTGTTTTAATTTCATTTTGATTTTTTCTTCCATAATTTTCTTCTGTTCTTCTTTTTCTTTTTCTTTAGCCTGTATAGAAAATTTAAATTTATTTTCTTCTTCCTCCCTTTTTTTACGTTTTTTTTCAGCTTGTAACCATAACTTTTTTTTTTTTTTCATTAAATCGTCTGTTTCTTGTTGATCTTTTATTTTTCCTAGTTTTTCACTAGAACTATCTTCATCTTTTTGAATTAATGAGTCATTTTTATGTCTTAAGTCATCTCCCATTCCATGTTTATTGATATTAATATTTTTTATTTTTGTTTTATTGGCATTATTTGACATGGTTTTAACATCTATTAAAAATTATTCATCTATACACTATCCACACAATATAATTTAATAATGTAAGTTATATTTTTATTCTAAAACTTAAAGTAATAAGTAATTTTTCCATGTTTAAATTTTGCTAGTTTATGACTAAATATAAATGTATCTCTTACTTTGTGAAATATTTTTTCGTCGATTTTTTAATTTTTTAGATTTATAACAATTATTATTTATATTCAAAGTATAATTCATCATTCTTTGCTTTTGATTATTTATAGTTTGATTTTGAACATTCCATGATTTTCCATAATTCATGAAAGTATGCATTAATATTATTTAAATATTTAATTACTAAGTATAATATTTTAACTAATATATACCATTTTTTGTTGACCATAAACATTATATTTTTCATTTTCTAACTTACGAAATTTGTTTGAATTATACCCTTTTTTGTAGTATAATGGCATATCTATCCATTTGAATCCCCTGGGAGTTGAGAGCAACTTTAGGTAATCACTGTGTGTTAGAAGACTTCTATCCACAATAGGTCTATAGCACACTGTATTGTAACTTGGTTTGTTGCATACATCTTTTGTTAGGCATTTAATTTTTTCATAACAGGAATCAATTGCGTACATAGGATTTTTATTTTTTGTCTTCATCATAAGTAAAATTTAAATGAGTTTGTATGAAAACCCTTTTTACTTGATGATAAAGTTTTGATTTATTTTAAATTTTGAATTTTTGTTATAATTATGTGTATCAAACAATGTAGTCATTTGGCATGGCAATATACTAGGTATTTGTATACAATATATTTATTTTTTTGCAGGTTAACAACGCTGTTAAATGTGTATTACCAATGCCCAAAAGAGAAATGGCGTTACTTACTAAAGAAGCAGCTATAAAATTAACTATGAATCAAGATATTATAAAAGAGTATACATCATCTTGGAATATTATTGATATTGGATTCCAGTCATATGAGGATAATGATACATACGTGTTTATTAAGACTGACCGGACATCTGTTGCAAAGCCTAAATCTACTAGTTCCAAAATAGTTGAAAACAATATTTAGTTATATAAACTATATTTAGATATTACTTCAATTCAATATTTATTATATATATTGTACATCAATATAGAAAGTAGAAACATTAAATAGTATGAAAGCAAGATACTCAAATTACCTTGTTAATAATTAATTAACAAATTAAACTCCATGTAAATCGTAAATCGTAAGTGTAAAATTATATCTAATAAACCAAACTGTTTTACATGTTTGTTTAGGAGTAAAGTAGTGTTTTTAGACTAAAATGTATTACTAAAATAAATCTCATTTTGTATAAAAAACCAAAGAAAAAAATTTGACAGTCATTAGTTTACTCTAGCAAAAGATAAAGTGGTGAAGATATACACCAAAAATAATCTTAAGGTTGTTGGCAATGTAACTCTGGTTAACAACAACAAGTAATGTAAAGAGCGTAATAGAGAATCTATATTCATGTTTTTTTTTAAAGTTTCCCCTAAAGGCTAAAACGGAAGTTTGTAACACAAACCAAGTTCCTAATATATGGAATAAAGATTGTGTATTATATGTTTTAGGAAATTGTATTTTAACTTGAAAATTTGTAAACAATTCTATTAGGAAATAGTCTCATCTTTTAATTGTACATTTGGCTCTATTGATGCAAATCGAGTAATTAAATAGTGTTGGAAATTGGAATGTTAGAACAATTTATTTTCATTCAGTTTATTTTATAATTTATTTTAATCATCAAAATATAATATTGAAATATTCAAGTAATTATCACAGAACCAAGGCTGGGTAAGTAAAAAAAATTTTAATTTCTCAAGTTAAATTTATATGAGAAAAAAGTAACTTGAGCTAAGTTAAAAGTTATTTTAAATTCATTCAGTTTGTAATTAACAGATAAAAAAAAAGTGGCGAAGTGGATGTTGCTCTGCTGTACAGTAGGTTATAAGTGGGTCAATGTATAAAGGATTGTATTAAACTTGAATTCAATGATATAATATCATTGTATAAGAAAAACGATTCTGAGCGGAGACGGTTCGTCAGTCTGTATATTGTTATTATTTATTATATCCTGTAAGTTGAATCTACATTATAATAGGTATTATTATTTTTTATTCATTTCTATGGTGATAAGCAAAGCTTTGGAAATTAAAATCCCATTTTTAGCGGTTTTTCGTAATTTGTCGGTGGTTTTTCCTGTGGCATTAAATAACTAATGAGAAAATTGAAAAATTACCTTTCTAAGGTACCATATTGGTCCAATTTGCTAAAAGATAAGGTACTATATGTTGAAATCAAAGCACTCCCTCTGGTAGATATTTTGTATACAGGATAAAAAAAAAAAAACACCATTGTAAAATTACTAGCTTCCTCACTCCGCTCAGAATCTAAAATGTTACTTTTCAAATTGGTAATACATAAATATTTAGATCCAGATATTTTTGTTTTTTCAATAAATAATTTAAACAAACAATTTTCAACGGTGAACAAAAATATAGTTTATTTATAGCAAAAATTATAATAGTGTACAAGTGTGTGTGTGGCGAGAAGGTGCTCAGAATGACGCTGCCGTGTAAACAGGTATGGTACATCTTAACATGCTGTACTCAGAGTTCCCCTTTAAGTGATGCTGACTCCAGTGGCGTATTTAGGGGGAAGGCGTCGTCACTAGAGGTTAGATTATATTCAAAGTTAAGTGATAACTTGTATCTTTTCTTAATTCTTATTATACCTTTTACTTTTCAAGACATATTTATATATATATATATATATATAAACAGGGTGATTCTTTTATCATTGAACACTCATTATTTCAAGAAGTGTAAATGTTTTAGAAAATATTATTTTACGTAGCTTCAAGTCGTTTACAAAACAATGTTTTTATAAAAAAATTTTATTTTCAAAAATATTGAATATAATTTTTTAAATTATTAATATTTTTTCTAAGTTTTTTACTTTTTTGAATGATAACGTGAGTTTTAATTTCATATTCCAAAGTAGAGTATTTGTCCATTTTACATAAAATTTGAATTTAGGACGAGTAGTTTATGGGTTATAACTTATAAGTATTTAAAGTTTAGATGGGCAGAGTACCGGACAAACATTTCACAGGGTAACCCCGTACCATTCTAAACTTTAAATACTTTATCCTTATAACTCATTCTCCCAAAATTCGATTTTTATGTTTCGAAATACTTAGACAAATATTCTGTTTTAGAATATTATAATATTAAATTAAAACTCAGTTATCATTCAAAAAAGTAAAAAGCTTAAAAAATTACAAAGATAAAAAATATTTAAAAATATAATTTTTGTAATAAAAAAGTTGTTTTGTAAAAAATTTGAAACTATGCAAAATAATATTTTCAAAAACATTTACACTTTTTGAAATAATAAGTGTTCAATGAATCACCTGTATAATGTATTTTATTATATTGTCATATGAACAATTTAGGAAAAAAGGCAAAAATCTAAAATTATAATTTGTTTCATTTAATAATAAAAGTTGACTTTTTATTAGGAATAAATGGAGAAATGGTAAAATAAAAGTGTTTTTTAAACTAGTAGAAGTATAAGTACAATAAGGGGAAAAAATTTTGGGGTAACACTTTTAATGGAGATAAAGTAAATTTTCTAATTAGAGGCGGCTTTAAAGTGTTTGGTGACAATGAGCTAAAGGAAACAGAACAAAAGGGACGCCAAAATCTTAAATACGCCTCTGGCTGACTTCTTTGGCATGAATGGCTCGCGTATGTTGCAAGTTTTTTTTTTTATGTATAATCAATGAATAAACGTTATTCAGGATATTTAAAATTTATTGAAAAATATATAATCATCTGATATCAAACTGCTTACGCATTACTTACTCTGAATTTATCAACTATTATATTTACAATGCTACCTATCTATGTAATGAGACACAAATGATAAAGACAAACTATTAAATATTGTACATGATCTTAAATGTTCAGCAATGTTCAAAATTTTTCATCCATTAAAAATTTATAACTCTAAAATAAAGTAAATAAAAAGAGAACATTCAGTCGTAAATAGGTACATTACTTAGGCTTAATCTTATAGGTATCTTATATCGTTATATTTAAACTATAGGTATTAAGTATAAAATCACCAAAACTTTTGTCTGTATAAAAACTGATTTTAATCAATGTCCCCTTACCTTACCTCCTTACATATGTTTTTTACAGTATTGAATATTATAGATTATTTTGATTTGTACACTTTTATTTTTTGTTTATAAAATACTTTAAACTTAATTTATAACATATTTTAAACAAGAGAAGAAGTCAGTTACAACTCAGTAGTTTGTGGTTCACGCTTGGACCATGGCATTTTTGGGCCATCATTGCCATTATCAAGTATTTCATTAAGAAATTGTAAATAATCCAATGGTAAACCACTTTCATTTGCCCCTAGTATTATAGTTTCTAGATATGCTTTTGATGGTCTTCTGTCAAGTGGCAATGGTATTTGTTTAGCAGGCTGATTGACTAACATGTAACAGCGACTTAATACATTATCCCCATTTGGTGTCACAACGTTTGCCTCAAATGGTACATAGATTTTTTTCTCAACACCTTCTTGTTGATCTAGATTGCTCAAATCACTGGTATTCAGCTGCCACAAAACACCCCAAACATGTTCCTCAGGGTCTGGAACAACTGTTGATGGACATCCGCCCCAAAAATTTGAAAATCCTTTAAAATCTAAACGGAACGCCTACAACAAAAATACATTACTAATAATAAGGGTTCATTTTCAAAACAATATATCATACATTCAGTTTGCCGGTTCCAATTCTTACAGCAGTTGGATTTTGAATATGAATCCGGTCTGCAAGCATGTTGCTACCATACGCAAAGTACATGAATTTATTCATACTATCGGCTGCGGATATGGAAAAAAATAAAGCATAACATAATAACCAAGTAATCTGCATTGTAATAACTATAATAATAAACGTTTAATTATTAATTAAGGTTTTATAAAATAATTTTATTTAGCCATAAAATATATCATATATTATTTATAGTCTTATTCCTCAAAGCCTTCTATGCTACGTTTGAACAAATGATTAATGAACAATATATTATAACTAATACCACGATTTATAACATCATTGATATTATAACTTATTATAAATCGAATTAATAATTATCTATGTTTCATAAGCTGTAAGCACCTCTTCTCCTGTCTTGAATCTCAAATGAGTCTAATTTCGATCGCCAACTATACTTTACGCAGCTCTCGAACGATAACCAGATTGCGGACAACTGTGAACTGACTTTAAATTACTATACTCATAGGTAATAGGTATTTTAATAATTTAATATTTTAATCATAATAAATAATAATATAGGTACGAGATAAGTAAACGGCGTAAACAAATAAACTCGTTTTCATTCGTTTGCTTTAAACACGATAAGCCCACTCGGCGACCGGCCAAGGTTTATTGATAATAATATTACCTTGGCGGCCGGCATTCTGTGATGCAACGTTTACGTGATAACAATGGCATGGTGCGGCATGACTGCGTTGGGCCCTACTCCCGTTGTTGTAACTCTTCATACTGTAGGTACTGATTAGTGGCGTAGCCTGCAAGAGGGGGGTTTGGTGTTTAAACCCCACCACCATTCACATTTTTTCACCTAAAGAATATTGTATTATTTATATATGAAAACTGTAAAAATTCGGTTTAATTTATACTTAACCCCCCCCCCTATTTCATAATCCTGGCTACGCCACTGGGACTGGGTTCAATGTACGGGATCATACTGTCGTAGAGTTCCAATGTCGGGTGATCAGTGCATCTGATTAATTAGTAATTACCTAATAACAACTTTGAGATCCAAAAGTGGGAAAGTAATTGTGTGAACAGTTGTAGGTACTTGTTAAAAGTTAAAATAATATAGGTATTATATTATTATAACCCACCTAGGAGACCGGAGTCCGGAGCCATTAGTATTTAGCCTTGTCTTATTAGTATTATTGGCTTCTGGCTAGAAGGTAATATTTAAAAAAATATATAATATATATAGGGATTAATAATTAATTTTAAAATACATTTTATCCTAACATATTTGAAATTAAATTAAATTTAGTAAATAAAAGGAGAGAAAAAAAATCATGACAAAACTGTTGATGCTGGGTAATTCCTTATAACTTTTCCTTCATATAATATCAACTACACTTACATACCTAACTAGCTACATAAGTACCTAATAATATATTACTGCGATTAAAGTAAATTTGTAAATACATTTACATATTGTATAGGTATTTCTAAATATTTCTATATAAATCTAAGATTTTAAAAACTAATACAAGGTTCCACATAAGTATGTCCAGTAGCGTACGCAGGATTTTAGTTCGGTTAAAATTATTTAAATTATTTACCTGAGTAAATAATTTACATTATTTTTTCCTAAATAGTATTTATGTAATTGGTTATAACAAATTTAAATTAGTCTCAAATGTAGTCTACATTAAGAACACTCGAGTGTTCAATCTTGACACCTATGGTCATCTATAGAGCCTCTTCGGGTCGTAATATGTGGTAATTATCGATGGACGGTGATACATGATGATACACCATACGACGGTTATGACAGATTTTTAGCAATGTTCTAAATCAGCCAAAAAACTGAAACTATGATTATCAACGTCTTTGTCATATTTAACAATTTATATTATATCTATTAAAAATGACCAACTTCTGTATTCGACTTTGTGTATTTAAATAACTAAATGGTTTTATTTTTTTGTCAACGGAAGAAATTTCAGGGGGGGTCAGAACCCTAGAACCCTACCCCTGCGTACGCCACTGAGTATGTCTACCTTTATCAAAAAAAAAAATGTCTATCGATGTGATATTTACGTATATTTCCTATTTTCAATTTTTTTTAGTTTTTTTTTTCTATAAATGTCAATAAAATTGTATTTGTTGGGTCAAAACGTATTGAAATTTAATACAAGGCTCCTAATATATTGTTACAATAAAAGTTGAATAATTTTAAAAATACATAAGCACAATTTTTTTTAATAGTAAGTAATAACAATATAAATATAATATAAAATATCCTAGACTGACAAAAAGTCACAATCGGTTTTCTTATACAATTATTAACAATGATAATATGATATTATATCATTGAATTCAAATTTTATACCATGATGGTTATACTATCCATTACAGTGATCCACTTGTAAACAATACTGTAGGTACAGCAAAGCGACATCCACTTACTTACCCGCTTTTTTCCTATGACGGGGATTTTTTCCCCCGATTCAATTATAACCGTATATGTAATATTGTAATTAATATATTAAACCTATTATTTAATACATTTTAATATAAATGAGTACGCTATTCACATGTTGGAAACTGTAGAGGCAATTTCTATATAATATAAGTATATAAGTATATAACTATATTTTATAGTTATTTATGTATTGCAAGTTAGTTTATCGTAAATCTCAATCAGGTATACTACCGCGTCAGGTAAGAATTATATAATTAATAATAATACAAAATATTATGTTATGCGTTGTATCATAATATCATATACCTGTTACCTGTATATAAATCTCCGAATTCCTCGGACATTAGTCACATGCCTGAGCCTGACTGCAGAGTGCCGGTATATCTATCGACAGACCGTGTTTTACTATTATTATAGGCGACTGTAGTGAAAACTGAAAACCTAGATTGCCCGAGGCTGGATCAAGGATATGTAACCGGATGTGAATTATTCCTTTTGCAGCCACTATACCAGTTCCGAATTTGAGTCATATCTTCCGATTTGTGACCCGTATAAAATGTTTTCTGTTTATCAACTTAAAAAATATGATGACGCACATGTACTCCTGTTGCTGTAGAGAAAATCAATCAGAAATATATAGTAAGTTTCTGTATCGCGGACATTTCCCCCAGACTGTTTCGATGTAGTACAGTGTTTCCCAACCGGTGGTCCGTAGGCCAGTCATAGGTGGTCCGCGGTACCTTTCTTAGTTTTCTTAGCAAAAAAAAAAAAAAGGTCTTCCTAGTTTGAGTAAAATTGAGGTGGTCCGCGACCTATAAAATATTGTCAAAGTGGTCCGTGGTGGTAAAAAGGTTGGGAAACACTGATGTAGTAGGACATTTCCCCTCCCCCATTTTTTTTAGAAGTTGACTATTTAAAAATATTATTTTATATTTAATATTATGAAATTATTTTTTTACCTATTATCTAATATTTTCAAAAATGTTCATAAATATAAGAAATTATAGATGTATATTTTTGATCAACTGAATTATTTATTAACTGAATCAATTATTAAATTGTTAAATATCCAAACTGGTACAGTTTTAACAAAAAATAAATAAATTTGAACAAATGCTAAAAAATATGTGTTTAGAAATAACAAAAGAATCAGTAATCAAATGTTTTTGACAAAATGTATCATTTTTATGTTGCAATTATTAACCATTTTTATTAATTATTAATCGTAATTTATTATACTTATTTTATTTTTTATTTTTATTGTTTCAATTAATTCAGTGGATCAAACATACTATACATTTATAATCTATTATATTTCTGAAAATAAAATTTTTTATATATTATTTTATATTTTATTAAAAACAAATAATTTCATATTAAATAATAATTATAAAATAATATTGTATTATTCAATTCATAATTATTAATCAATAATAAACTTTAAAAAAAATGGTGGGGAAATGTCCGCATCAAAAATATAACGGGGGGGGGGAATGTCCTACTAGACCTAAAACAATCGGGGGAAAAGTATTAATTTACCATATACAGCTGTATACCTCATACCTATTGGGCATAGCCGCAATATATTTATGCTATAATTAATTACAATTATAATGTATAGACATATAGTATGAACTAGTGTAAGGTGGTAGTATGGAAGATGATGTATTAATGTTTAATATTTTTATGAATGAACGGTGAACACAGACTACACAGTGAACGTGTTATGCAGATGACCTAATGACGTAAAATGATCGTGAATGTCTATGACGCACGACTGACGGTTCTATACGTTGTAGAAGCTTGAATTACATTAGGACAATACAAAGAATATGCAATGACGTATTGAAAATTTCATTCACTCGATAAATCTAACACGTGGTGTTTATACGTTGGTGGTTGGTATACAAATCGTTCTATTTACAAACAACGCCGGGTCCACACAGCCATACAGGACAAGAAAACAAAACATAATTTCAACTTTTCCCGATGCAGACGGGACAATCTAAATTGTTTTTAAAAACAGAAGTGCAACAAGAACCAGGCTCAAAAATTGTAAAACATGATTTTACGTGATACGTTTGGTCCTATGTTGAGCATGAGTCTGAAAGAGAAAATAAATATTGCTCTGTCATTCTCTTAAGCACTTTTAAAACAAGAAAATTACCTCCAGCTTTTGATATTACTTATATTACTTGATATTACATATTGTTTATCGAATAAAAAAGTGATTGCACATATATACAGTATACACGTTAGGTACCTAGTTATAGAACGAAAACTGATGAGACTGGATAAACTTAAGTAATATAGCTCTTGAACCTATTATAATATGTAGGTTGTAGGTATATCTAAATATGTGCGCTCGACCACATGGTCGGCCCCGCGTCTAGGTATATGTACCACAGTCGGCTAGGGTTAGTCAGTGGTCGGTGTCTCGGAATCGGGATGCGTCATTCACATATACAACGATTCGGATCTACGAAGACTCTATAATATACCTGTACGTACTGCACCACTGGGATAGTGTAAAAAAGCCCATGATTCAGTTTTCGTCAAACCATCGTTGCATTCGCGTCCATATAGTTTTAGTGTGCTGCAGATAACCATACTGCAATCGTAACCGTACGAAATAACATCCGTCGACATCGGATTCGTGAACCCTGACGAAAATCCAAAAGACTTTTATCTGATGTCGTTTAAAGTCGTCTCGCGAATTCGTTTTCTTCAGTTAACGGCAACAATATAGATATAATATACCTATTATAAAATACCTAGTGAACACGATGGGCCGACGCTCGCTGACGCTTTGCGATTTCGGCAGCTGCCTTCTGTTCCCGTCATATTGACTTTGATGGAGGTCCTCTGCAGACATCAGCTACGTCTGCTACTTTCTGCACGTAATGTCCGACATCAACCGCGAAACTACAGCGCCCGAAGATCGAAACTCCGCCGCTGCTGTCGTCTTGCCAAACGGTGAGTCTAAAATGTTACGCGCCTAATATGAACAGGTTCACTGGTTTCCGCCAAAAACGACCTTTCCGTTTTCCGCCAAATTAGAAAAAACGTCATTCCTCTTTCTGCCAATTATACATTATAGAATTTTAAAGTTTGGGAACCCTTAGGTGAAGATTCAATAATTTTATATATTTTTTTAAGTAACTATAATATATTATATTGTATAGGATAAAATAATGGAGTTAAATAATTTTATTTTTTCCAGTTATTACTTATTATATAATAGTAATGATATTAGTGTACCGACAAAATAAGTCAAAAAATATAATTTTATCATAACACTTATTACGATAAACCTATGGTTTATTTTGAAGTATAATAATTGTCTATATAATATAATGGTATATAATATCTTATATAGTGGGTTTTTAATTTTAGATTCTGAGTGGAACGATGAATGTATTGATTTTACAATGATGTGTGTTTTTTTTTTATTTTTTTTTGTGTCTGTCATCACCTTTTACTTTTTAGGATAGTAAAAGTGATTGGATTTTCTTCAACAGTATCTTTTCTGATAGGAAAGTGAATCTAGTTGGTACTTTGGGGGGGTCAAAAGTAAAAATTTCCCAAAAATCGATTTTGGTTTTTGGTGTAACTTTAAAACAAATGACAGTAGATACATGAAATTTTCACTGGTTGTTTATATTTGCATTTTCTATACACGATGACATTTTCAAAATATTATGATTTGTTTTGAACTGTTTAGGGACATTTTCAGTTTCCAATTTTATCAGTTTTTTTTTTTTAATGAATATCAATAAAAATTTATTTGTTGAGTAAAAATACTTGAAAATTTAATACAAGGCTCCTACTATATTGTTTCAAAGGCAGACGAAAAATATTAAAAATCCCCTGTCACAGTTTTTTTTATAAGCATTTAAAGTTCAAAAATTGACAAAATATGGAAAAATCACGAAAATTAGTAAATTATTTTGTTTTAAAATGTAATACAAGATTCCTTATAAGATTATCAGCCTTTATCAAAAAAAAAATGTCCATAAGAAAGTCAAATAAAATTTTTATGAGCGTTTGAAATTCATATTTTTACAACATTGGATATTCACTCGATTTCTCATGTAGCGATTTCCTTATTATGTTGTAATTAAAAAACGAATGACTGTAGGCACTTGAAAATTTCACTGAATGTTTAAATTAGCATTTTCTATACACCATATAATTTTGAAAATAATTTGACTCTTTTTGAGCTGTTTACGGACATTGTCAGTTTTCAATTCTTTTAGGTTTTTTTTCTATAAATATCAATTAATTTTATTGTGACACTAGCAGTTGAAAAATATTAAAAATACATAGGCACATTTTTTTTTTATAAGCATTTAAAGTTCGAATTTTGACAAAATTTATCATTTTTAAATTTAATAATTATTTTGTAGTTAAAAATGTATAAAATGTTCAACTTTTATAGCTAAGGATTGAAAATTTAAAACAAGGGTCCACGTAAGTAGTTAATTCGGTTACCAAAAAATCTAAGAAATACAGAAGCACAGTTTATTTTTATAGTCATTTTAAGTTCAAATTTGGACGAAATTACATAATAAAAAACCTAGAATAACTATTTTAGTTATTTCGTTGTGATTGTATAATATTATTCGTGGGTACTTAAAATTTCTAAAGTACACTATTATATATCTATGATAGTATCAGGGTTTGTTCTTGATGTATAACACGTTATAAGTACCTAATTGATATTGTGATATGATTAATTTGGAATTTATTATAGGTACCTATTATAGGTCAATTTTTTTTAGTACCATAGATAAGTATATAATATGTCTTATACCTAGACTGATATACCGTCTCCACTCAGAATCGTTTTTCTTATACAATGCTATTATATCATTGAATTCAAATTTAATACCATCCATTATACAGTGACCCACCTGTAACCTACTGTACAGCAGAGCACCTTTTTTTTTATAGCTGTATGCGTTTTTATCTAAGTAGGAAATATTATTTTATGGATATAGATAATATTATCTAATCTGTCAAAGTGTCATCTCATATCATACTGCAATTGTTTGTTCGATTTGTTAGAAATATTTATGGAGTATAATATAATTGAGTAGGGTTCAACATTTTCGAAATAAAAGGTTTTTTTTCTAATGAACTGAAAAAGTAATGTATAGTGGAAACAATCTAATAAATAATGATAGTTAATAATCATATTACATACATATTGTAATATAATTATTTACCATACCTAACTTAAAGTCTGTAGTGGATAAATCTAGAGGATTCTATATTTGATTTATAAATAATTATAATTTGAATATTAACTATTAATGTACTAACTATTAAGTATTAACTATGTAGTTATTTCTTATTAGTTATTGATATTATTTAATATATTTTATTACCAACTCATTAAGTTTAAAAATATTAAAACTATCAAATAGTTTCTATAGTCATCACTCACCACTCTCACCAGCAGGCACGTAGCCAGGTGGGGCCTGGGTGGGCCGGGCCCACCCTAAATATACTCTGGCCCAAGGCCGCCCCCCCCCCAAATTCAAAATATAATTATTTTTACCAATTATCAAAAATGTGATTATGCACATTGAGAGAAATCTATTGTGATTACTATTAGGTAATACAATTATTATTGTAATAATTTAATTTTTATATTCGGGGAACCGTGGATAACTTTATCTGAAAAAAATACAATATAATAGGGTCTTGATACCCTTTTTAAAAACAATAATATATTAGCCGCAGTTATAAGTCTATGCTAAGTTAGCTTGCGAAAGAACTTTTTCATGTCTGAGACGACTGAAAACCTTTCTGAGGAATCGCATGACAAATGATCGTTTAAATAATTTAGCTTCAATGAGCATAAAAAAAAAAATTCTAAAAACTTAGATCTAGATATTTTTGTACAATTTTTTCGGAAAATCATAAAAACAGAAAAATTATTTTATATTGCACTGTTTAATATTTATATAAGTATAAGTGTATTATTAATATTTTCTACTAGTGTATGTGTTTTTTTTTTTTTTTTAATAAATTTGAATTTCTTTAAAAATTATATTAATTTAAAAATCGATGATCATTTATCTCTATTATTTTTGATAAGTATTTAAATATGAATTAATTTTTGAAGTTAAACAATTGAAGCAGCTTATTGTTTTAAATATGTATGTAGATTTATTTTTCATAGCATGAAAAATGTATCCCATAAGTGAAGATGTAGGTAATTCTATATTTATTTTTTTTTTTTTTATAGGTACTTTCTATTTTTGTAATTCTTAAATAAGTAAGTATTAGGTATAACTTGTTGTGAAAAAAATAATTTTAACCAATTACCAACTAAAGGTAAATTATTTAAATTAATAAGATTCTTTGTATTGCATACCCCTTACAAGAATTTCATAAAGAAAAATTTTGGAAAGTAATAAAAGGGCCAAACATTATTGGTCCCCCTAGTAGAAATTTTCTGGCTACGTGCCTGCTCACCAGTCACTGTAATTTTAATACAATAATACATTGATAACCGTATTGGTAAATGTGAAATGACAATGAAAGGTTACCTTATCTATTTTTTTAAATGGTTTTTACTTTCTTGATATTTTATCAAGTAAGTATGGTAATTGAAATGAAAAATCAAAAAAGTCTGGATTTTACAACTTCACGAATTTTTTTTTAAATAGGAAAATAATAAAAATGTAACTCAGTAATGATGAGTAGGAGGGTAATTTAGCTAGCTTTAATATAAAGTATTGATGAGATAGATTTGATATCCCACCCAAGAGGTAGAACCACTTGAATCTATAAAAACAGTCCCTAAATTTCTATTTTTTAACTTTTCTCCTAAACTATGAAAGCTAGAAAGTTTGTTGATAACTCATTAAAAAGGTATTATAAAGTAGATACTAAATATGAAATTACAATTTTTTTTTAAATATTATCAGTTATTTTTCGATAGATTTTCATTTAGCGACGTAGATTTCCGAAACTGGAGAACGGAATTTGTTGTTTGGGGTCTTGTCAGACTCAAATTGGCTAGAAGAAGTGCAGTGAAAATGTTCAGAACCTTATACCTCAATAATCGTTAATTCACTACAAAGCTTTAAAGCTGGAAAACATCAAAAAACGCCCAATAAAATTTGTTTTAATTATTTTAATGTTAGTGAGTTATAGTGAATCAACTATTAAAGGTTAAGTTCTGAAATCTTCACTGCACTTCTTCTAACCAAAGTGAATCTAACAAGACTCCAAAACACGAAATCCGCTCTCCAGTTTCGGAGATCTATATTACTAAATGAAAATGAAAATGATTTTTTGTGGGACTGTTCACACCGACATTTTTCTGGATTTAAATTGTTATACTGCTTGGGTGTGATATCAGTGCTAATACATTTCTAAAAATTAAAAATCAATAAAGTTTACATGCCGATCCATGACTTGGCAAGCGTTTTTTTTACATAGATTATTTTAATTTTAAGCTTAAATACAATTTTTTAATTTTCCGAAAATTCGGAAATATATTTTTTTAATATTCTCCAATTTTTCCTCGTTTTCCGAGGCTCTTTGAAAAAAAATGGTTTTTTTCTGAAATTTTCCCGAATTCTCCCGGCATTTTGATCCCTAGTATTGAGTACTTACTGAGTAGTGACTTATAGTGATCATCGAACAGTGGGTATAGTGTTTGATGTGTTCTAACTAATATAAGCTACAGTAATGCCTGAACAATTCATTACCAGTAAACTCGAAAATCTACAAATTGTAATTGATAATTTTAAATATAGTAAAGGATATGAAGGAATGAATGAAGTGCGTTGGAGATGTACAATTTATCAGTGTTGGGTAGTAACGTAACGTCCTTTACTCGTTACTGTAACGTAGTTTCACTTTTCAGTAACGTTATGATAACTTCGTTATTATTATTTTTGGGTAACGCAAGAGTAACTACGTTAATTATTTAGAAGTAACTTAGCAGAAGAACGTGTTACATAATAAATTTAATTTTTTTTTTTTTTTTGGTGGGGGGATATTTATTTAAAATACATTATTTTTTTTGCAAATATACATCTCACAGGCTATAGTGATTTTATTAATTTTAGAAAAATTGTATAAGTATTACTGGGTATTTGTATTTCTTAATAAAGATGGTTCTTGTATTTCTTACATCTAGTATTTTATGTCTTTATACATGATCGTGAATTTTGTTTAGATCCTTTGGACTGGACTAACGATCACATAGCGGCATGGTTGAAATGGTGTGGCAAACATTTAGAGTTGTGGCCAATTCCGAAATCAGACGACTTTCCTACTACCGGTTACAATCTTTGTTCATTAGATAGGGCAGAGTTTGACCGTCGATCGCGGAACAGACGGTCTGGCCGATTATTATTACTGCATTTGTCATTACTTCGACAGCCTGTCACTGGAACGCCACCTAGTCCCAGCCTCACAACACCAGAAGACGGTAAGTGGCTGTAATTGTAATTGTAAAATTATATTGAATTTTTTACTCAAAAGTAGGAGGTAACACACTTAAAATTTCGTATACACTTGTTTGGTTAGTAAGAAAGCCTTAAAAGTCGTAATAAATACCTAGTCCATTTTTAGATGGTTAGTATTTTTCCTTATCATTAATGTAAAATTGTATTATAACAATATAACACTGTACTAAATTTATGAGTGAGTTGTTGTCTATTGCCTGCGTCCTATCTGACATTTAAATTTTCAAAACATTTTGACTCCTTTTGAGCTATTTATATAACATTAGAAAATGTAGACTTTTTATTAGTATATTATTAATGTTGATAAAAAAATTTTCCATTGGTCAAAAAACTTAAAATTTAATACAAAATTCTAATCATAAGTTGTTGTTTCTGGAAATTCCAGAAGAATGACCAGATATTTGAACTTTTCACCAAAATATTTAATATTTATTTTATAATTTTCTCTAGGTACAAGAAACAATTTTCGAAATATTTTGACTCGTTTACAAGTTTACACACAAAATGATTGTTCATTTTTTTTCGTATTGTGGGATATAAATCAATTATTACATTGTTTCAACAGAAGACTCATTAGTAATTTATATAGAGTAATGACTATCGTCTTGCAGTATAAACGCTATACCTACGCCTACACGCTACACGCGTGTTATATTATGATACCTATTATAATTCGCTTTCTATTAATGTCAAGAGATGTAATTCTATCTCGTTCAATAAAACTCATTTTCCTATTAATTTTAATTATTCCATAAATTCGTCACTTATTAATCAAGTCCAATTTATCAAAGATTTAGGTGTTATATTTTCCTCTGATCCATCTTTTAATAACCATATCGACTATATTGGTCGTAAATCATCTAAAATATTGGCTTTATTAACCATAATACCCATAACTTTAAAAATATTAAGGCATTAATAATGCTCTATACTTCCCTTGTTAGTTCAATCCTAGAATTTGAATAATTTATTTGGGATCCTCATCAACAAATTAACATTGATCGGCTTAATCGTATTCAAAATAAGTTTTTAAGTTTTGCAGAATACCGTTGTGGTACTAAACCAATTTTAAATTCCTTAACTAACAGACGTCGTTTTAATAACTTAGCATTTATTCATAAACTACTAAATGGCTCAATTGATTCCCCTGATATCTTATCGCTACTTCCAATAGCTATTCCATCATTTAATTCTAGACAACGCATATCATTTAAAAATAATTTCCATAGAACTAATTATGGTTACGCATCGCCTCTAGATCATATTTTTCGTATTATAAATAATATGCATAAGGCTGATATATTTTTTGATCCATTGTCTTATTTTAAGAATAATATTTAAATCCTACATTTTTTCTATCTTATTATTTAGTTTTGTTTTATAATTTATAAATGTTTAATAAGGTAAGTTTATATATGTTCATCATATTATCTATGTATTCAGTTAATATATACCTATGTAATTTACTCTTAAAAATTAAGTTCCACTGTACTTTTTAACTTAGTTTAATCTATCTCATATTTTCTGCAATTATGCCCGTGTGGCGTTAAAATTTAAATAAACAAATAAATAAATAATGGGTATTATGTATGTTCTAAGAAATATTTAAACCATCAGTACTGTGAAATAAATCATTGAATAACGCATACCTATTAGTTATTACCGATGGATATAGCAAGGATTGGTATATAAACTTTATAAAGATTGTGAATATTATATATATATTGTGCGGAACGTGCCAACGTCAATATAATATAGTCGATAGAAATAGCTTATACAACATATTTAAAAAAAAAAAAATTCAAAATTATATTGTACATAGCTGCATGTCGAAAAAAAATATTGTTTGAAAACATTTTCTATGAGGGTTTAACTCTTAAATATGGTACCAATACCATATTTTCTATAATTATTAAAGTAAGTTAAAATGTCCTTATCTTAACAAATCTTGTAACAGGTTTACAGGTACAATATATTATGCTCGGGAATCACTTTTTACCAGTACCTATGTGAGTTTTGACAGTACAATAAAAATTATAAGCACTGCAACCACACAATAGGTGGTACACTGGTACGTACCTACCTACCTTTACCAAGTAGAAAATGTAATACATTTGCGTAGTGTATAAGACGAATGGCGTGCACTTATAAATAATATGTAAGTTATGCGTCAAGAATATTATGATTGTGCAGTATGCACTATGCATAAGTATAATATAGTTTTTAAAGAAATTGCGAATATGATTAGAAACTACTTGAAAATATTTCATTACGTGTATTATTAATAAGACCATTAAGACCTACTCTCTCTCTAAAAACTTTCTCACGGGGTGCCGTCAAGTGGCTATTCCCCCTTCACGTTTGAGAAATATTGAGAAATTTAAAAAATATATTTAGGTAATACAATAACATGTAGCTAGGTATATAAAAATTGCACAACTATGGCTACCACTTCACAAAAAAATTCCCAGATTGTAAAGTTATATTATACATTTTTTATGAGCGTCTGAAGTAAAAATTATTTTGGGTTAGAAATTTATAAGATGTTCTACGTATATCTAAGATTTGAAATGTTCATACAAGATTCCCTTTAATCTTTCCTACATTTAACAAAAAAAAAAAAGTTTTGGGAATGTCAAATTAATTTTTTACGAGCGTTTGAAGTTAGACATATTGGATGGTCACCAGTAAATTAACAAATTCTCATTCAGCGATTTTCTTATTTAGTTGTTATTCGAAAACTATTAACCGTAGGTACTTGAAATTTTCATCGAATATTTATTTTATACCATTACGAGTGAGGGGGTGTACAAATCGCTTAGTATTGCGACATTGAGTATGTGTCTTCTTTTGATGAGGTCTAGGGCGTATGAAATTGCCATTGCCTCCGCTGAGTATATTGAGCAAAAATTGGAAAGTCTCAGCATGGATCGAGGTCTTTGAATACTACTGCAGCTCCAACTCCGTTTTTCATTTTGGAGCCGTCAGTGTATATTTCAGTGTAATGAAGTGGTCAAATTTATTGTAGTTAAACAATATTATAAAATGTTCATTATTATAATATATTTTATACACACAATGACATCTTAAAATGTAATTTTTTTTTGGCAAAAATGAATTTAACCTGCTGTTGTACTAATGCTCAATAGCAAAATAAATTGCTTTAATCACAATAATATCGTTAAATAATATTATACTTCGTAATATTATAAGCTGACAGACCGAATTCGCTCAGAATCGTTTTTCGCATACAATGATTTTATATCATTGAATTTAAATTTAATACCATCCATTACAGTGACCCACTTGTAACCTATTGTACGGCAGAGCGACACCTACTTACCCGCTTTTTCTTTATTAGTATTTAATATACCTAATTAATATTTCTCAAAACACTATCAATACTGGACGCTAGTGAAAGACAGAAATAAATATCATACATTTATTCATAATATTCATTATGGCTAGCATTATACATAAATACATAATCGTCAATCGATTAGGTATTATCAGCGCGGTGTATTCCCAGTTCGCCGACACCCAATTCGCCGACATCCAGTTCGCCGACACTCAATTTGACAACACCCAATTTGAAAAAGTACAGTTCAGTTATAAAAATATATAATAATTAATAATATATAATATTTAATAATCATATTTAATTTTTTAATATGTAATAATTAATTAATTAATTCTTAAGTCTCGATAAGAATCGTTAAAATCATTTAAAAAATAAAAATAAATTGAAGTAGGTATGAGCTATGAAAATCCATTTACTCCATGAGGTAATCGCTCATAAAAATATGAATAAGCTTTATATGATAATATTTAATACAATTATTTACCTTTAATTTATTTCGGAAACCTCGTTTTGCCAATTCAATACCATGTGGTCCGTGATTATGTGACTTAGACATAACTATGACTGTTGATTGTCTTAATATTGCACGGCGGCTGCAATTATCTATACATTTATAATATTCGTTGTCTCCACGTATCCGGTCTATTCTATGTAAATATTTGTCCACTACAAGTAAGTTCTGATTTTTTTTCGAACTTAAATTTAAACCATTCCATAATGGGGGGAAAAAAATTTAATAACTAGTAATATGTGTAGTAAATTGCAGTACCTACCTCATGCAGTGAAATAAAACTACTAACTAAAATCATGTTCAATAATTGAAAACCCCAGTGGACTTACAATACGTTATATAAATGGATGTCAATAAATTATCATGTGATAAGTACCTATAATACTATATTTTATACTCATCATTAAATATGTTTACAGATATCATAACTTTGCCGATATCATAGCCGATAGGTACCTGTTCTTATACCTATTCATCGTACTCATCAAATTTACAGATTATGATAGTAGCTATTATAGTTTTATTGCAATGCAACAAAGCATGTCGTCAATATCATTTGTCAGCGAATTGGGCTTTTTTTAAAAACCATTAAAAACTGGTTTTTTGATCAAAAAACCGGGTGTCGGCGAACTGGGCATAAACCATCAGCGCACACTATTAGAATAGTTTCTATATTATTTAAATTGGTCGGTTTGTTGTCGTCTTAATTCTCAATATCTATACATATAAATATATAATGATATAAATAGGTATTGTGATTTAACTTACGTTTTTCCTAAATTAAAACAACGTCTATCTAAAAAACAATACTTTGTATAAACCAATTTGTTTGAAAATAAAAATGACCAACCATTTCCAATTGATTGAACACTCTATAGTGTACGATACTACACCACAAATTAAAATAAAAATATTTTAGTTTTCAATATGCGGAAAAAATTATTAAGATCGAATCAAATATTGTCGCTAAAAAGTAAAAACACATAGCAAATAATCTTGGTTGCGCTTATTTTCGTAGATAAAAAATATCAATAAAATAAAATAAGACTCAATGCTTTTATCAGTTTTGATTATCTTGTAAAATAGTAGTGGTATTTACACTACT